CCTCGGCCTCCCAAAGTGCTGGGATTATAGGCGTGAACCACCATACCCATCTGCATTCTCTTTTTATTCCAGGCTCCGGAAGTGCTTTGAGGGTGCCAGAAATGGGATGGCCCCTGTGGGAGGAAGCCCCTCCTCAGGGCTTACCAAGTGCCTGTTTTTCTCCCCTGAGGGACTTGCAACCCGAGGGAGGGTGTGTGGGCAGCCTGGACAGAGCTGTCTCCTAGTACCTGGATCCCACTCCCTGCTAGACGTTTCCAACACCATTCATTCCCTCATCTTGGGGACCCTTCATTAGTCTGAGGTGTTCAAATGGCCCGGAGTGGCACTTTAAATTCCAGGGTAGCACAGCCTCCTGTGGAAGATGTACAGTAGTCTCCCCTGCTTTCTCTAAAGTGCCAGGTGACCAGCTGGATACAGCAGTCCCAAGAGCCACAGAGAAGAAACAATATAGCAATGGCCCTCTTGGATTCATGTTCTAGTGGCCTGGTTTTCAGATAATGCGCACAGTGTTTGACCAGGAGCTACTTTTGGCTCAGGCATTTTCCAGATAAAATGTCAGCTGGTCTGGCATTAGTTACTGTGTCTGTTCTCAGGGCCTGGCTTGCTCTTCAGAGCTCCAGTGCGCTTTTAAGGAGAAATTTGGTAAAAACCGCAAGGGAGGCATCAGTGCTCTGGAGGTATTGCCCACGAGGAGTGCAGGTCAAGGTTTCAGGCGCCCCGGGTTGTTGGAGGAAAACAATCTGTCTATTCAGGAGGTCGCAAAGCCACATCCAGGGAAACTCGCACCTCAAGTTTGAGCAGAGACCAAAGGCTCTGCCCTCCTTGGTCTGAGCACTGCCTTTGACCTGCCCCACTGCCTGGCTCTCCAGATCTCCACTTTGTGGCCCTTCCTAACCTAGGTTTGGGAGAAATTCTTGCAAATTACTGGTCTTTCTCCTTCTTCCATGAACAATTTTATGTTTTGAGTGGGGTTGAGTCCTAACCAGTCCTATTTAAAAGGAAAGTAGTCTCGTTAAACTAACGAGGTTCGGCCCCTTAACACTGCTGTAGGGTTTTCTGCTTTAAGAGAGGGGCTGGGCTGGGTGAAGTAGCTCACACCTGTAATCCCAGCACTTTGGGAAGCCAAGGTGGGTGGATCATCTGAACCTAGGAGTTCAAGAGCAGCCTCAATAATACAGCAAAACCCCGTCTCTACAGAAAATACAAAAATTAGTTGGGCATGGTAGCATGCACCTCTAGTCCCAGCTACTCAGGAGACGGAGGTGGGAGAATTGCTTGAGCCACGGAGGTCCAGGCTTCAGTAAACTGTGAGCATGTGCCACTGCACTCCAGCATGGGCAACGGAGTGAGACCCTGTCTGTAAATAAATAATTAAAAAATAATAATAATGAGGGATCTGGTAACGCAAAGAGTCTTCTCTTTGGGATTTCTCTTCTCTGGTGAGATTTCAGGCAGTGTAGCCAGTTAGGTGACAAATTCAAGGCACCATTAGGGAAATACATGCTAGCCAAGGGCTCTTTTTGGTTCCTAACTTTCCGCCTTAATTTTTCTTTGCATGGTCGTGGAAAGCACACGTTAGGGATTTATCACATCCAGCAAAACATTGAAAAAGGTAATAAAACATGTCCAAATCAGGTTCACTCCAGGAATGCAAAACTGGTTTTAACACTAGAAAATCAATCAAGGAGTTCCAGTAATAGCAAGCTAAGTAATTCACACTAACATTTCTATTGAAAATTTAAAAATTGGACAAAAATATAAAAACTTACTTTGTTTTCTTTTTTTTTTTTTTTTTTTTTAAAGACTAATCTCACTCTGTCACCCAGGCTGGAATGCAGGGGCATGATCTCGGCTCACTGCAACCTCCACCTCCTGGGTTCAAGTGATTCTCATGCCTCAGCCTCCCAAGTAGCTGGGATTACACGTGTGCACCACCGCCCCCAGCTAATTCTTATAGTTTTAGTAGAGATGGAATTTCACTGTGTTGGCCAGGCTGGTCTCAAACTCCTGGCCTCAAGTGATCCGCTCGCCTCAGCCTCCCAAAGTGCTGGGATTATAGACGTGAACCAATGTGCCACAAGAAAAACTTACTTTTGAAGGCATCAAAGTTAACAAAACAGGCCAGGATTGGGGGTCTGGGGGAAGCAGAGTTCCAAAGGGATGGCGCAGTATTTGGATCTACTTCTCCTGGGGCGTTTGCCGACTCAGGAGGGGAATTGAGAGGCAGAGAGATGCTTTTGATGACTTCAAGGGGCTGTGCGACAGGATTAGGATCCAAGTGCTCACTTAGTGGAGCTTTGTACTTCATACATTGTACATCCCAAAGACTGCATTCTAGAAATGAAGGTGGACCAGAGTAAATAAACCTTTGTAGGGTTTGCAGCTTAAATTATGTCAGTCACTGAACACGGATTAAAGCTCTCTGGCGTGGTAGTCCCCTCAACCTGCCACCAGGCACCTGGCAGTAATAAATATAAATTATAAATCATTATTTATATTATATAAATTGTAAATTATTATTTATATTATTATATAAATAAATTCGTAAGCAAAAATAAGCAGGTACATCAGAAAATAAGGCATACACAATAACCAGCAGGAAAATAAAGAATATAAACAGATCCATAGGGGTCTTTGGATACTGAAATAAGATAGACTTTAAAATATCAAAGTTTACTATGTGCAAAGAGATTTTTAAACATTAAGATTGAGAGTTTCTGCATAAAACTAGAAAACTATAAAACAGAATCAATATAAATTTCCACATTAACAGACTACAAGAGAAAAATTCTTTACCTCAATAATTGCAGAAAAAGCACTTGTTAAAATCAGTACCTATTTATGATTTTTAAAAAAATGAATAGAAGGGAATTTTCTCAATGTGATGAAGGAGAGCTACCAAAAAATCTACATTAAATACCATCTTTCATAGTAAAATGTTGTAAGATTTCCTTTGAAATTGTAAATGAGACAAGAATGCCATTGAGGCCACTACCATTGTCCTGAAGGTTTTAGCCAGTTCTATAGGAAAAGAAAAAAAAAGTTATGACAATTGGAAAGTTATGACATTATTTGCATGTTGTATGATTGAGTATATAAACTTTAAAAATCAGCAGATAAAC